ATTTGCTTTTTCAAAATGGTCAGTACGCAGAAGCGGCCAAAGTTGCAGCAAATGCACCGAAAGGAATACTTCGAACTCCGGCGACTATTCAACGGTTCCAACAGGTACCAACCACACAAGGACAAACATCACCCTTGTTGCAATATTTCGGAATACTTCTAGATCAAGGACAATTAAATAAATATGAATCTTTGGAATTATGTCGTCCAGTACTTGTACAAGGTCGCAAGCAGCTTCTTGAAAAATGGTTGAAAGAAGATAAGTTGGAATGTAGCGAAGAATTGGGTGACTTGGTGAAACAAGCTGATCCAACTTTAGCTCTTAGCGTTTATTTGAGAGCTAATGTCCCTAATAAAGTTATACAATGTTTTGCAGAAACTGGCCAGTTCCAGAAAATTGTATTGTATGCTAAGAAAGTTTCTTATACCCCTGATTATATATTTTTGTTAAGAAATGTCATGAGAATCAATCCAGATCAAGGCGTAGCATTTGCCCAAATGTTAGTGCAAGATGACGAACCTTTGGCTGACATCAATCAAATTGTGGATATATTTATGGAACAAAACATGGTTCAACAATGTACAGCATTTTTGTTGGATGCTTTGAAGAATAACCGGCCAAGTGAAGGAGCTTTACAGACACGACTTTTAGAAATGAACTTAATGTCCGCTCCACAAGTTGCTGATGCCATCTTAGGGAACCAAATGTTCACTCACTACGATAGAGCTCACATCGCACAATTGTGTGAAAAAGCTGGTTTACTGCAACGTGCTTTGGAACATTATACTGATTTATATGACATTAAGAGAGCTGTGGTACATACACATTTACTTTCTCCGGATTGGCTTGTTGGATTTTTTGGGACACTATCTGTTGAAGATTCTTTGGAGTGTTTGAAAGCAATGTTAACTGCTAACATAAGACAAAACTTACAAATCTGCATTCAAATTGCAACAAAATATCACGAGCAATTGACTACTAAAGCGTTGATAGGTATTGATAATTTCTTATTTTAAACAGTTTGATTTATATTATTTATATTATTACGTACTAGTTTATCTATTTAATGTCGTTATTTTCAGATCTGTTTGAAAGTTTTAAATCGTACGAGGGATTGTTTTATTTCTTGGGATCTATTGTTAACTTCAGTCAAGATCAAGAAGTACATTTCAAATATATTCAAGCGGCTTGTAAAACTGGACAAATTAAAGAAGTGGAACGAATTTGTAGAGAAAGTAATTGTTACAATCCAGAACGTGTAAAAAATTTCCTCAAAGAAGCAAAATTATCTGATCAGTTACCTTTAATCATTGTTTGTGATCGATTCGATTTTGTACATGATCTTGTGCTGTATCTTTATCGAAATAATTTACAAAAATATATAGAAATTTACGTTCAAAAAGTAAGTTTCGGTAATCATCATCTTGAATTTAATATTAAAGTTATAAATTTTATACTTACTAAACTTTTTTACATAATTGTCATTTCTAGAATTTTTTTTTATTATAATGATGGTTTAATTTTAGGTAAATCCGTCACGTCTACCAGTTGTCGTAGGTGGTCTGCTTGACGTGGATTGTTCAGAAGATATAATAAAAAATTTAATCCTTGTGGTACGTGGTCAGTTCTCTACTGACGAACTTGTAGAGGAAGTTGAGAAGAGAAACCGTTTGAAACTCTTACTTCCATGGTTGGAGTCTCGTGTTCATGAAGGTTGTGTTGAACCTGCAACGCATAATGCACTAGCAAAAATATACATTGATAGTAATAACAATCCAGAAAGATTCCTTAAGTAAGTAAATGTCTATATATTTTGATTCATAAAGTATTTCGAAGTTTTCTATTAACTAAATTTTAATTTTAAACAGAGAAAATCAGTTTTACGACAGTAGAGTAGTAGGAAAATATTGTGAAAAACGTGATCCACATTTAGCTTGTATTGCATACGAGCGTGGCCAATGCGACCGGGAATTGATAAGTGTATGTAACGAGAATAGTCTTTTCAAAAGTGAAGCTAGATATTTGGTAAGACGTAGAGATCCGGATTTGTGGGCTGAAGTTCTTCTTGAAAGCAACCCCTACAAAAGGCCGTTGATCGATCAGGTGAGTTTATATCCAACGAAAGTGATGAAACTAACGTTAATAATTTTTAAATTTTCAATCTGACGAAAATTTGTTTGTGTAATTTTAATTTTAACTGTAGTTGTATGCAATTGCTATGAAATTATCGAAAGATTTATTCGTAGGTTGTACAAACAGCTTTATCGGAAACACAAGATCCTGAAGATATATCAGTTACCGTTAAAGCGTTTATGACCGCTGATTTACCAAATGAACTAATCGAGCTTCTTGAGAAGATTGTACTCGACAGTAGCGTATTTAGCGATCATCGCAATTTACAAAATCTTTTGATTCTAACGGCAATAAAAGCTGATCGTACGCGTGTTATGGAATATATCAATCGATTGGATAATTATGATGCCCCTGATATTGCTAACATTGCTATTAATAATGAGTTGTACGAAGAAGCTTTTGCCATTTTTAAGAAATTCGACGTGAATACTTCAGCTATCCAAGTTTTAATCGAGCAAGTTAATAACTTAGACAGAGCTTATGAATTTGCTGAAAGGTGAGCTATAATTTGTTGAATTTATAAGCAATTACTTTACTACAAATATACCAATGGACTAAATAATATAATTAGTTGAACGATTAATTGCAAGTTTTGAAAATTGATGATGTCTATTTCCATAGATGTAACGAACCACCGGTATGGTCTCAATTAGCCAGAGCACAATTACAACAAGGTTTAGTTAAAGAAGCTATAGACAGTTTCATTAAAGCTGACGATCCGTCAGCGTATGTAGATGTGGTAGAAACTACTCATCGAACTTCTCATTGGGAAGATTTGGTTCGTTACTTGCAAATGGCTCGCAAGAAGGCGCGTGAATCTTTCATTGAAAGCGAATTAATTTACGCATACGCAAGAACCAACAGACTTGCAGATCTTGAAGAGTTCATTTCTGGTCCTAATCATGCCGACATCCAAAAGGTTTAAATATTTTTATGAATATTATATATACATATATTTATTCATATCATTTCTCAAACAAAAATTTATATTATACTCGTTTTTAGATCGGCGATAGGTGTTTCGACGACAAAATGTACGATGCTGCTAAACTTTTATACAATAATGTATCGAATTTTGCACGATTAGCTATTACGCTTGTTCACCTGAAAGAATTCCAAGGTGCCGTCGACAGTGCTCGCAAAGCGAATTCAACTCGCACTTGGAAGGAAGTTTGCTTTGCCTGTGTGGATAGCGGGGAATTTAGATTAGCGCAAATGTGTGGATTGCACATAGTCGTACACGCTGACGAGTTAGAAGATTTAATCAATTATTATCAAGATCGAGGGCACTTTGAGGAACTTATTAATTTGTTGGAAGCTGCTTTGGGACTTGAAAGAGCGCACATGGGAATGTTCACTGAATTAGCTATACTTTATAGCAAATATAAACCTCAACGAATGAGAGAACATCTTGAACTTTTTTGGTCTCGAGTTAATATACCAAAGGTATACTATAAATTACATTTAAATGTTTGAATATGAACAAAATGAGGAAAAAATGTATTATGTTTATTTGTAAAAAATGTATAGGTACTCCGTGCAGCAGAGCAAGCACATTTATGGGCAGAGCTTGTATTTTTATACGATAAATATGAAGAGTATGACAATGCAGTTCTTGCAATGATGCAACATCCTACTGAAGCATGGCGAGAAGGTCACTTCAAAGATGTGATTACTAAAGTGGCAAACGTTGAACTTTATTACAAAGCTATACAATTTTACGTCGAATATAAACCCCTACTTTTGAATGATATACTACTTGTACTTGCTCCACGCATGGATCATACAAGAGCAGTTGCATATTTTAAAAGAACAGGGCATTTACAGCTTGTAAAGCCTTATTTGAGGTCAGTTCAAGCGTTAAATAATAAAGCAATTAACGAGGCATTAAACGGTCTACTTATCGACGAGGAAGATTATCAGGGACTTAGAACATCGATTGACGCGTTCGATAATTTTGATAATATCGCATTAGCGCAACAACTGGAGAAACACGAATTAATTGAATTTAGAAGAATTGCCGCGTATTTGTATAAAGGAAATAACAGATGGAAACAATCAGTCGAACTGTGTAAAAAGGATCGATTGTTCAGGTGAATTGCACTAAAATTTTTAAATTCATTTATATGAATTTTCATCGTTACTTAATGATTTATGTCAATTGAATAGAGATGCTATGGAATATGCAGCAGAATCTCGTAATTCTGATGTTGCTCAAGAATTATTGGAATGGTTCTTGGAGAGAGGGTCAAAGGATTGTTTTGCAGCATGTCTATTTCATTGTTATGATTTACTTCATCCAGATGTTATTCTAGAACTTGCGTGGAGACATCGTATTTTACATTTCGCTATGCCGTATCTTATACAAGTTGCACGAGAATATATTAGCAAGGTAATATTATTTACAATTTAATTATTTAATTATTGATTTTTAGAATTCTGCTAAAGATACGTATTTCAATAGGTTGATAAGTTGGAAGAAGCTGAAAGTCGACGTATGGAAGAAACTGATCATCAAGAACATAAACCTATGATTATGCGTGAGTACTTTTGCCTTAAGAAGACTGCTGTTCGTTCAACAAATTGAAAAGCAAATATTTTTGTAAAATTATTTTTACGTATATTCTTTTATTCATACGTATTTTCTTTTTATAGCGGAACCTCAGTTAATGTTAACAGCAGGACCCGGTATGATGGCACCTGGTTATGCACCACAAAGTGTATATGGTGCACCGCCGCAAGGCGTTTATGCACCAGCTGCAGCGGCGTATCAGGCTTATGGTATGTGAAACACAATGTGCAACACGTTCAATGACAGAGATCAACAAAATCTACTTTTCTATAATATCTAGGTAGAACAGATTATTTCAATAGCTCACAATTATATAAAATGCTAAAACAATATCATTAAAGAAAAACGCGTTGCTGCAAAATAATTGTATCATAAATAAAGATAATGAATTCAAAGTAAACTACGAAATATTTAAGCGTGAATTTCTAGTTTATGAGTAACATTTATAAAATAATTAATTTACTGTTAAAGTAATTAAAAAGTTCATTGTTTACGGAAAATGAAAATAACCGTAATAAAAACAAAAAAAAATACTTAAATATTTTGTGAATACAAGATGTCATGTAATAAACCTTTAAACAAGTATGCAATAGTAATAATTTTAGTAATTCATGTTATATTGAAACATTCTACCAATTGAATTGGATTATTCTATGTTACTTCATGAAGTAAATACGACATAGTTTCATTGAAATATCGATGTATTACGTACGTGCCTTTGTTTAAATATTGGAAACAAAAGTTTTAGTTTAAGGTAACATAAAATTAACAATATTAAAAATAAATACTTGTAAGTTTCAATTCAATAAATGTGTCACCAAATTACGAAGTGCTTCCTTTTTAGTAAAAAAAAAAAAAGAAAAAGAAAAAAAAAAGAAGAACAAATTTGGGTTAAAAATATTTAACTGATTATTGAGAGAAAAAACTGACATATTATATTCATATCCATCCAATGGAAAATGAAGTGTGGGAAAATTTTATTCTAATATATATAATTTGTAGTAATAAAAAAAGGATCTATTTATTTAGATTCACTAACGTTGTTGTCGCAGTCAAATATACGAGCCTCAAAATATCTAGCAAAATAAATAAAAGAAAGCGACATATATCAGTACATCAGTATAATGCGAAATGAAGCTAAGAAATCTGTAAACTGTACGTAATGTATGTAGAAATTTAAATATAGTAAGATATGAAATACATTTGTATGTCTATCAGTATATAAATTTAATATCTATGTGTGTTATTGTTGTGGCATGCATAAATAACTTTAGCATTTGACCAGACAGCCAAATTGTGAGATATAGAATAGTAATGTTATATGCTCTTCTAAAGGAAAAGAAAAAAAAGAAAAAGTAACGATAATCGAGGTAGCTCTCTGATATACTCTTACTAGACAGAGAGCATATTTAGTCCATTGAAAATATAACAAACTTTATAACGATCTCGTCATATTGATGTATGGATATATGTACTGAAACTTGTTTATGCTGGCTTACAATATTATGATCTTATCGTATTTTTTTTGTACACATTACATTAAAGTATTATAACACTTGTAAAGAAAGTGGAGGTGTTATAAGGATATATGAGCTAGGTAATAATTTTATTTCTAACGTGTTTAGTTTTTTTAGAAATATAATTTCAAGTTTTTTATTTTACCTATTGTATTTGAATTATACAATGTATTTATATAATGTCCTATTGTTCGTTATATTAATGTATAATGAAATTACAATACGAGTATTAATGCAAGTTGGATAACCAGATCCCATACATATAGAGAATGACAGAATCGTTGACGTTTCTGTTCGTTAAATGATTCACATCGTTTGTATAAAATGCTCTGGTAATAAATCAGGATCAATGTACAAGATATATCGGAAAAAATAGTATCTTTTTCTGGCATATCTTACATTCAATGTTCCTAAAAGAGCAACATTATCGCATAAGCATTTTGAATGACATTTTTTCTGTCATATATCGCAAAAGAAATAGGCGATATGCACTTGCAAATTGTTCTCATTATTCATATAAATATAAAGCGAACATTAGAAATTGAAAAAAAAAATCGTACTATCACAATAATATGATAAACTATTGTGAGCAACTTTCGTTTGGTATTTAATGATTGCAGTCATTTTAACTGCATATATTAAGTGAAAAATGTTAAAATTAGATGATGCAAAGAAGAGTCTGTAACATTCCCAATAATCACTTCACTTTCATTAAAATTACGTAATGAATAAAAATGTAGATTAAAAAATATATCTAATGTCTGCTGTTCTGCAGACAAAATCGTAATGTAATTGTATCATTGTTTGGATATTGTGGATTATAATAAAATATTAGTAAATTTAGAAATAAATATACCAAAATTGGTTGTTAATTACACAAATATACATATACATGATCAAAATCATATACCTGTAATGTTGAAAGTCAGTATAAAATGTGAGACATTTATCGCTATTAAATTTATTTCAATAAACAACTGTATGACTTGAATACATAGTTTACATTAATTTTATGATCCTATTTATACATTTTATCATCAGTAATATCAGTGTTAATATGTTTTAACATCATTTTTTCAGATACTTCAATATCAAACATAATTAAATATTTTTTAGTAAGAAAAACAAATTTAAAAAATTCTCTTCTAAAAGAATTAATTTTTTTTCAAGGAAGAATGTATTTCTATACATTCTATTCTATATATTCTATTATATTTTATTATCTCAATCTTTATTAGCTTAACTGGCAATCAATATCTGAATTAGTTTCTTTCAAAATAGATAAAATAAATTTCTTAACGCTTTTATGTTTTTTACAGAATAAATTGTTTGTTGTAATTGTTGTATGTGTTAACATAATATTTTAGGGGATAATAACAATACTCTATATATTAATATTGGAAGAAAAATTCATTTCTAATTTTACAAAAATGCAAATTTTATAGTTCATATACACGTCCACATTTAAACTTTTTTATTGTTCGTTCAGTAGGTTTTATAGAAAGATCTTTTCCAAAGAATTCTAATTTGATATCCTTCAAATGCATATTCATAACAACAACATCTTTGGGTATTGCTAAAAATGAACATATATTAATAATAGAAAAAAGGAATAATGAGAAAAAATATATAAATTACATACTTCGTATAATATTATCTTCTCCACAAATTCTAAAAATATTTTTGGTGTCTTGAACAACTATACCACTTAATCCAATCAGACTAGGACACTTTGCTCGAACAATAGAAATTTCAGCACCATGAAAATCTGCTTTAATCAACTGTTGATTAACATTTTCCCAATTTGGATCAGTTGGATCTTTTGGAATGTTATCGAAAAACTTGGAACCAAGCACTTGCTCCATGTAATTTAACCACAATTGATTCAATGGTAATAAGTCCTTATATTTCATACTATTCACTTGGCAACTAATTTTACGTAAACCAAGTTGCATACGTTTTCTATTAGTTAATAACTTTCCTTTGCATTGTTTCTTTTTGTTCCATTTGCTCTTGTGTTTACCCAGTATCAATGACTGTAAAATATAAATATTCATTATATGAAATTTGATCAATAATGTGATAATTTAAAATTAAATTAATAATGTATTTCCTATAAATGTATTCTGTCATACCTTTCTTAATTCATTTGCTATTGAGGCGGTATCAGTGGGAGGCAATGCATTTTGTAGAAAATTCGTGATATATTGTTCGCTGTTTTCACATGTACTAATTTGTTTTGTTATATTTTTAGGCAATATTGAACATATGCTTTCTATAACAATTAATTACAACATTACATCAGGATATATTAATGTATAATTTATTAATTTATAGGATACATACGATTTGTTTGTGCCATTGTCACGTGTTCGATGTCCAAATGTCACTGCGAGTCTCTCCCATAACAAATTGTCTACTATCTCATTCTAATTCTTGTCTCTGTCTAAGGCCGGTTACTATCATCATAGTTCCATCTGGTGCCAGTACGCTTTATTCAATATCTATGAGTTCGACATCTATAAATTCCAACCAACATAAATTAGTCGTGCCTGACGTATCGAAGGCGACCTTGGATTAAGTAACAATGCTCGTAAGATATTTGTTTGTGCTCACAGTCCCCTTGAGGATATGGAATATATGAAGACTGATTTCAACTCTAATCCTAACCTCGAATTTCCTATCTAAGCAGATTGCGGCCAAAGGTCACCGTCGTTCAATTCCATTGAGCCTGGCTGGTAGAGATGAAACGCAACTTTCTTTTCATCTAAATTTCCCTCCCGACGCGATCCTTTTTTCTCATGTTGTTCAGGCACTTGTGTTCTCTGGCTGCAAACGTTCGGATGCTGACAGTGGTAGTCAATAATAACATTATTACTAAAAATGTATTATGTCAAAATTAATACATTTTATTACACATTACACCAATATTGCAGCAGATAAGAGAAAGTATAAACATGAAGTATTAACAGTTAAATATGTCATACTCGTAAATCTTTTTTCGAAAATTATCACATATTACATTTTGCTTTATGTTAAACATTTGAAAAATATGCTCTTAGGTTAGCTTAAATTTAAATATGATTAACTGATGTGTGTAAGTGTAAGAATTTATTTCTGTATTAATTCAATGGCGACGTATTTTCTTCCAATAATCCATGAAATTTGAAGCAAACACTGTAAAAACAAGACAGCGCATAATTGCATTGTATACATAAATTGATAAGCAGGAGCAAAATAGAGGTTTATTTACTCAAACTGAATTCGTAAAAATGATAAATCATCTACATATTAGAAATTGAATGGAAATTGAGGCAAAAGAAAGAAGAGATCAAGCTTCTTTCGTAAAATCGTAAGTAGAATGATTTGTTCACTTTCATTTTGATTCAAAATTACATTATTAATTTTTAGTGTAAATATTTAAAAAACAGGATGTAATAGTGTTATTTAATTAATTTAATTTATATTCTTTTAACATTGTTTAGATATTTTGCTATATAAGATGGGCTATCAAATAAAATACAATTAACAAAATGAAAATTCTACATGAAAAAGATAGTCAAAAATATGGAATTTATTCGTAGAAATAAATAAATTTCGATTTGCGAGAAAATATATATGCCACTTCTTAACTGAACACGTTCAAATCTTTGTTTTCGTCGGAATGAGGTCTTAAACGAATATTTTTAATAATCTTTTTCTGATTGTCTATTTGTATCCAGTAGATAATTAACCAAGTTTGTACATACTGAATGAATTTTCAAATTTGATCTTATGGAAGATAAAGTACCGTGTGCAAAAATTTTATTTTATATTATGTTCTATACTTTTTTACGTAGAATCGTAGATCATACCACAATTACTAAGATACCTTATACATTGCACTTTATAAAACAAAAAAAAACTCGAAAAATAATTTGTACACGATACGTGCAAATGAAATTACACTATCCAACGACGAATAAATATATTAATATATAGGTCAATTTTGTCCATATGTTAACGAATTAATTAATATTCTATTTGGTAAAAAATAATGTAAAAATAATAAGAACGTAACTAGATCTTTATTTTATTAATCTTAGAAACGAAAGTTAGAAACTCTCAGAAAAGAGAACATCGAAGAAAAAAGATCAAGGAAAGAAACTAGAAACTCAGTTTTGCAGTATATGTACTTACTGACGTTACTGATTACTACTACTCGAGTCGAAAGTCGTGGACAATCGTGGCATGTATGAACGAACTTGCTGTGTACGTGTAATGTCGAATTAACCATGTTGAGACGCATATTTGGCATCGTAGAAATCAATTGAAAATAATAAAAAATGGTGTCACTAATAAAGAAGCAGTTATTGAAACATTTATCAAGGTATTTATACGATTGAACTATCATATGAATTTCATTATCTTCTATTAAAAATTGTATATTCCTCGATTAAGTTGAACAAGCAAGTTACAATTGTAGATAATCTCGTTAATTAGCATTATTGCTATTATTGTTAAATTACTGATCATTTGTTTTTGTTAACAACCGTTGATATGCATGTTAACATGAGTTGTTACTAATGGTCATTTAAAATGACAATATGTTCATGAGAATTTATATAAATTTGTAGGTTTACCAAGAACTTATCAGCAGATAAAATAAATTTAAGCACGTTCAAAGGAGAAGGTGAACTGACAAACTTGGAGCTTGATGAAACAGTATTGACAGATTTGTTGGAGTTACCTTCGTGGCTTAGATTAACAAATGCTTGGTGCAATAAAGTTTCATTTCGTATTCAGTGGACCAAGTTAAGAAGTGTTCCTATTTTT